TTAGAACTAATGGAAGATTTGCTGGGAGCATTCAAAGGAAAAGGTGAAGATGGGGCAATGGCGGTGTCTCTGAACTAAGATGTGTCCACAGCCCTTAGCCCTGACTTAACACTGTTCCCTTGTCAGGTAGACAAAGGTCGCTGTGCTTCTAAGCATAGATTCAAAGACTTAAGTTCAGCGCTGGAGACCTGGAGGTTAACTTCAGTGTGATTTTCTATCTCAGAGCAAGCGTGAGCTTACGCTTAATTTATACAAGTGCCCTGAAAATTTCTGCTCCCATAAGCACTTTCTCACTCACGTCTCCATCCTTATTTACCATCATAGTGCTGTAAAGAATCCTGGTTTGCTGACATCTGGGCTGAAGGGAGTATGAGGAGAGTGACCTTGTCAGTTGTCGTGAAGGTCAAGGGAAGCAACATAAGCACCTAGACCAGAGCACGGCTGAAAAGGACATAATTTTCTTCAGGTTCCCTTACATTAAACAATTTGTTGCCTTTTGAAGTCACACCTCTGTGTTTTAGGTGTTTTTATACTGGATTTTTTCCCCCCTCATACACATAGATGATAAGGAGAGGTATCTACTTTACTTGGGCTTTAGAGAAAAATCCCAACATTGATACATTCTAACCATGAGAACTGGGGCAAAATGTGTAAGCCATCCAAAATTTTGTTCCTCATCTACAAAATGAGATAAATACCTACTTCATGAGCTTGTTGTAAGGTTTTTTAATACATGTAAAGCACTGAGCATACCTAGTATTTATTAAGTACTTGATACATTATACCAGCATTAGATGATACTTTTAAATGGTTTTATTACAGCCTTTCCACAATTACATGGTTGCATATAAAGGATCAGCTTTTAAATTTGCCATAAATCAACAAGTTTGAAATTAAGTTCATTACATTCAATTGAATCCATATTAAATAGAGAGCTACTGAGTTTTATTTTATTCATTCACTCATTCAACAACTATTTAATTATTGAGAGTTTACCAAATACCATTTTAAACATGGGGCTATAGCAGAGAATAAAACAGATACAATCCCTTCCCTTACTGAGTTTATAATCCAGAAGGGGAGCAAACAATATAAAAGTAATCAACATATGTGTTAGATGGTGTTTAATGCTATGGAGTGGGGGGACTCAAACTAGGGGATTTATGAAGTGCTGGGGATGAGAGGGACTGCTGTTTTATATCCGAGTGGGAAGGCCTCACTGATGAGGGGCCATGCAGAGAATATGAAAGCTGTGAGGGCAGTACCATGTAGACACCTGGGACAAGAGCATTCCAGGCAGACAAAAAAACACGTGCAAAGGCCCTGAGGCCAAAGCCTGCTTGATGTGTTCAAAACACAACAAGAAGACCAAGACACAACCAGAGCCAAGTGATACATATATATATATATCTCACTAAACAAGTAAACGTCTAAATGTCTGGCATCTGATCAAAACTTACCTGACATGTAAAGTAGAGAAATACCTCATAATGAGGAGAAAAGGCAATCCCTAAAAACTGTCTCAGAAATTATTGATGATAAAATTAGTAGAAAATGACATTAAAACTGTTATTACAACATATTGCATATGTTTGAAAAGGTAGAGAAGAGATTAAGTATTGAGCATGATATAATATAATATCATATGTATATATGTATATACACACATGCACACACACATGCACAATTGAACTTCTAGAAATGAAATTACAATGTCTGAAAGGGAAAATACACTGGATGAGATTATCGGCAGTTTAAATATTGCAGAAATGATTAGTGAATTTAAAGACATGGCAATAGAAATTATCCAACACGAAACACAGAGACTGGCAAGAAATGAACAGAGCATCAGTTAGCTGTGGGACAAATTCATGTGGCCTGACAAACAAAAACCATGATGAAAACCACACCAAAGCACAGCATAACACATTGTAACCAAAGTACTCAAATTAGTGATAAACATATCTTAAAAACAGTCAGAGATAAGATGCATTGCCTACAAAGAAATAAAGCTAAAAATGGCAGTATACTTCTTGTCAGAAACAACATAAGCCAGAAAATGCTGTATTAAGGACACAAAATACTATTAACTTAGAAATCTAAACTTAGCAAAAGTATCACTCAAAAACAAGTGTGATACTTTTTTTAGATATACAAAAGCTGGCAGAAGTCATCACCAGCTGACCTGCACTTCAAGGTCTGCTACAGGAAGTCCTTCGGACAAAAAGGAAATGATACCACATAGGATGCTGGGTCCACACAAGGAACTGAGAAGTCCTGGATATGGTAACTTTGTGGGTAAATATAAAACACTTGTTCTTATTGTTTAAATGCATTTAAAAGAGAATGTGATCTATGCATACAGTGGAGTACTATTCAGCCTTAAAAAAAAAGAAACTTCTGACAAGGTACAACATGGATAAACCTGGAGGACATTATGTTAAGTGAAATAATCAAGTCACAGAAGGACAAATATTGTGGGATTTCATTCGTATGAGCTACCTAGAATCATCAAATTCACAGAGAGAGAAATTAGAAGGGTGAGTGCCAGGGTTGAGGGAGAGGGGATGGAGAGTTAGTGTTTAATGGGGACAGTTTCAGTTTTACAAAGATGAAGAATTCCCGTAGATGGATGGTGGGGATGGTCGCACAATAATGTGAATACAGTCGTTCCCCCATTATCAGCAGAGACACGTTCTAAGACCCGCAGTGGATGCCTGAAACCACAGATGGTACCAAACCCTATATATACTATGTTTTTCCCTATTGTACTCACCTATTCAATAAACAGCAGCACTTTCCAGATTCTCTTTAGCGTATCCGAATTGCCAGCATCACTGCGCTTGTACTTTGGGTCCATTACTCAGTAAAATGAGAGTGGCTTGAACAGTCAACCTGAAACTGAGGCGGCTACTAACAGGAGAGGTGCGTCTACAGCGTGGAGACGTCAGTCAAAGGAATGATTCACATCCCAGGTGGGATGTAGCAGGATGGAGCAAGGTTTCATCACATTACTCAGAACGGCTCATAATTTAAAACCTATGAATTGTGTATTTCTAGAATTTTCCATTTAATGTTTTTGGACTGTGGTTGACTGCAGGTCACTGAACCCATGCATGGGAGGAACCACTGTAGAGTTAATGCCACTGAACTGTACATTTAAAGATGGTTGAGATGGTAAATTTTATGTTATGTGCATTTGACCACAATTTTAAAAAGAGAGAAAACTAGCTGCTTAGAGCAGAAATAAGAATGACATATGTGTGGTGTACAACAAATGTGGAAGTAGGACATCCACGGCACAGTTAGAGGTGCAGGCGGAGGAGAACTGCTGTAAGGTTCTTATTCTCCACGTGAAATGGCATCGCACCTGCAGGTGGGCTGTGATCACTTAGAGACCTGTACCAGAAACCATAAAAACAACCACTGAGATAATCTCACAAGAACTTATTCCTAATGAGCAACGAAGAAGGTAAAACAGGATCGCAAAAAGCGCCTCTGCCCATTGAAAAGGCCTAAGAGCGGTGACACCCCTGTAGCAGCGACCACAGGTGTTCACATACAGTAAACATTATCAGAGTGCACACTTTAAATATGTGCAGCTATCTCAGTTGTGCTTCCATAGAGCTGTTTGGAATAAAAGCAGAATGAGCTGCTTGGATGGGTAAAAAGCTCCCGTGATGGTCATTGTGTCTTTCCACATGCATCTTATTGCCTTCTAGAACACAACAATAGTGTACTCCTTGCTCTCTTTCAAATTGGGTGTGGCCATGTCACTTGCTTTGGCCCATAAATTGTAAATGGAAATGATTCTATCAACTCTTGATGGGACCTTCACGAGCTAATGCACAACTGATGTCATTTTCTTCTTCTGCCTGAGTAATGGGGGAGAGTGTGTTTACACGACACCTGGGTCATCCTGGGTCTCCACGTGGCACAGGGAGCTGAGTCTCTCTGCCAGCATGAGCAGGGCAAGAGTCAGCTGAGTGAGAGAAACTTTGTGCGTTAGTCACAGGCACATCGGGAGGTCTTTGTTACTGCAGCTAATCCTGACCGAATGTTTCCTAACAGAGACATCCAGTTGCAGAGGTCATTTTGTTTGGCACTGCAATGCAAACTGGTCCAGCCACCTCGCAGGTCTCTTCCAACTTGAAGACATGAGTTATATGTCACAGGTGTCACTAGCCTTGGTGTTTAACTGATGTCAGCTTTTCAAGCCTCCACCTACCTGTGTGGAGCCTGACTCCTTCTGAAAGTAACACCAGATATTTCAGAGTCCCTAAATACTCAGACACACATTGTCTCAGCATCCAAGAAACAAGACTGTGATCAGTGCCCTCTACCAAACCTAGCTCTGTCAAGGATGCCATGTCCCTTTGCTCCCAAAGCCACTGCTGCCTGGAATGTCAGGATCCTGCTGGATTCACATCCCTAGGCCTTTTAGGGTCCTCTCCAGGGGACTGGGCTACTGTTCTAGGTCCAACTATGGGTGTTCAGAAGGCCCCTTCACTTACTGTCCATCTTGCTCCACTGGTCCCTTCAGAGATACCACTGTCCCCACCCATGTGGCCCTCTGTTAGTCCTGGGGAACAGCAACCCTTGTGTGGCTGGTTCCGTGAGGCATTGCCCAACGGCAAGAAGGACAGTGCCAGCTACAGGTGCGGTCTATTTTGGAAGAAATGCTTCACCCTTCGTTTCCCTTAGAATAATCTCCGATGTGCCTAGGCTATTGGAAACCTGCTTTTACTCTTTCACAAACCTCTTCTGAAGAGAAAGGAGAAAATAATTAGAGAAAAACACAGTTGAGTTTTGCTGTTTCCCTTCCCCACAATCAACAGTACCTCAGAATGAAAGCAGTACCCAAGATTATTTAGGAGGTATTTATTTTCTCTCAAATATCCAAAGTTACTGAGATACAAAGAATTTTTCATTTCCCCGCCCCGGCCCCGCCCGGCCCCGGGATTCTTGCGCATGCGCGTCCTCGGGCGCGCACGGGGCCCGGTGCGCCTGCGCGGAGTGGGCAGTCCGGCGGGGCCGCAGCCGCTGGGTGGCCGGCGGTTGCCTTGGGGATCGCGCGGGCCCCTCAGTCCTCCGGACCCCACCCCACGCCGTTCCCCACCGAACCGGACAACCCCGGGACGTCCCCGGCCATCCCCTCCCACTGGTCGGGCCGGAACTGCGCCGGGACCCGCGAGAGGCGGTGCCGCCCCGAGATGTCGCAGACGGCCATGTCCGAAACCTACGGTACGGGGCGGCGGGCCGGGGGCGGGCGGGCGGAGCGTCCCCGTCCCTGCCACCTGCCCCTTGGGGTCCGGTCGCCCTTCCCGCGCTGACGCCCCGGGTTCCTTCCACGATGGTCTCGTCTCCGTAGCTCGGGGTGTGGGAAGGCGGCTCGAGGCTGCTCCGTCTGCGGCATTGTCTCCAGCGAGGGACGTGACGGGCTTGGGCGACGCCTGTGTTCCCGTTGGATCCTTCCCGCACGGGGCCACGAGGCTTGGCCGGTTCCCTAATCAGCTCCCCGGAGGCGTCGTGCCCCATTGGTGTCCCCTCGGGTTTCAGCCCTTTCTGGTTGCGCTGTGACGATTGACATGTGCCTTTCAGACCGCAGGCACCTCGCAAGCACCGCCCCTCGTTTGATCGCTGCTTCCCGTAGAAGCACCCACACCTGCAGGTGCCCAGCAAATACTGTTGAATAAACCAGTCTTCCCGATTCATACACCGTTTTTCGTTTGAGTGTGAGCCCAGCACGGTGTACCCGCCCTGCCTTTCGGGGCCGAGGGCTGCCACCAGTCAGTCGAGTCGCCCTTTCAGGCGTGTGCATTCAGATTGAGACTTGATTTGGAGTTTTACAGCCCAGGGAGAGAGGCTCAGATTCAAAAGTGTGTACCTCACATCAGATCAGTTTTGTCTCCGTTTGTGCTGGCACGCGCTCCTTTCCCTTCAACAAGTGTGTGTGCAAGGGTGTGTGCCAGTGTCTGTGCCAGGGTGCGTGGAGCCCGCGCTGGGAGGCAGTGACTCCTGCGGGCACATGCAGCAGGCTGGTCTTCCACAGCGCCGGTCTAGTTGGGGATTCAGTGTTTACCTGCTTATGCCACTAATGAGTGACTAGTTAAAACCCCTGGCAGGAGTTCTGAAGCCTGTGGTCTGTGCAAGTATGTTAGAAAGAAACCTAACCCAGACTGGGGTCCAGAGGGCAAACAGAACAGCACGTGCCCAATAGGGGAAATGTGGTTTGGGCCCCACAGCCCCTGGGGGATTCACAGAGAGGGGCCTCAAGCAAGGCTTTGGTCTTTCTCCCAAGTGCAGCGGGTGGGTCACGGTGCATTTGCTCCATGTTCTGCCACTCCTGTGAGTGGTACATGCTCGGTGACATTGGGGGGGCAGCAGGTCTGTCCCTAGAAGGCTTTGGAGATCCTTCAGAAAGTCTCTGGCTTTATAAGGACCAGTGTTGTCAGAGCTGCAAATGCTACGATATATCACATCCACGTGGTCCATAGAGAACCACAGTTGAATTTCGTAAAGAAAATTATGTTTCTCTAGCAATGTTTGGTTATACTTTTGCTTTTCTTTGTTTTCAAGGGCTCCTTACCCCCACATTTTTTCTCTTTAACCTGGATAAGGAGCACAAGGGAGAGGTGAAAAGTCCAAATAAGAAAAGCCAGTGGGGATTATGAATTAGTAAGAAAGGACTGGAAGAGTTCAGGAGTTGTTACATTTCATTTCTTAGATGATAACCTGGGTAAAATGTAACATGCCTATGGCATCTCTACTTCCCTGCAGACAGAGTTAATTGAACTTTTGAGCATCACATAACTCATTAAATTTGATCATAAGGCTTTGATCATTAGTATTCTTATTTCATGGTAACTTCCAAATATGTTTTTACTTTTTATCAATAGAATTTAATCTTTTCCTCTAATAGAGGAAACTAACAGAAAATAAGTTTTAGAAAGAGCAAGTGTGGCAGTTGAAAGTGTCAACCTAAAATTAAAAATCACCCCAAATCAAGTCCTAAGTTGTCACCTTCCCTTATCATTGAACATATTTGCACAGCATTGTTCCCCAAAGGTAAAACAGTCGGGCTCTCCTCCCCAACATTTGCCCCTTAGATAGCTGGTAAAGGAATGTTTACCTAACCTTTAAACTACTCTGGGCTCACTTTCTCCCCTCTGGAAAAAAAAGACTGTGTAGCTTGACCGGGATGATGAAAAAGGAAGAGCCAGGCTTACAGTGCACTGTTAATGAGCTACATCTGCCTGCTCTTGAGCACATTAAAGCACTAGATCCCCTCATAGACTGAGGAGTGTGCAACAATTTGCTGCTTTGAAACCACTAACCACATGAAAACTACAGACTTTATATATTATTGTAATAGAAAATTGAAATCTTAAATACATAGGTTTCAGGTTGAAACCTTCAATCTGAATAGCCCTAAACTAAAACAGTGGTTCCCAAATGTTACCAGGTTCATGACATTTTGAAAGCCCTGGCCAGGTGGGACAGCTTGGGACTTCCCGAGGAACTCAGCCATCTGACACGGAAGATCGCAGATTGGCTTTAAGTAATTTCTGATACCAAGATTTATGAGATAAAACTAACAAATCAGAGCAGTAGTTCCCAGCAATGGTGTTCAGAAAGGATTTAAAAGGTATAAGTAATGCAAAACATGCTAGATATAAAAAAATAATAATAATAAATCTCTCTCTACACACTGGCGTTTATGCCTTCTATAACAATTTATGAAACAAGAATACAAATTGTTGGTCCTATGCTAATTGTTATTACAGTATACTCTTAACATTTTTATTTTGAAAGTATAATAGTATTTACTACATAATTTTGAGAATTATCAGGATATTTAAAATACATATATATATATATATATATATATATATATATATATAATTATAGGCTGTTGTGTGTTGAATTGTGTCCCAAAAAAGATATGTTCAGGTCCTAACCCCAGTACCAGTGACTGTGACCTTATTTGGAAATAGATTCTTTGCAGATGTGTTCAGGTTAAGGTGAGGTCATTGGTGTAGGGTAGGCCCAAATTCAATGACTGGTGACCTTATGAGAAGAAGGGAATTTGGAGCCAGACAACATGTCGGGAGCTTGTGATGTGAAGACAGAGGCAGAGATTGGAGTGGTATGCCTACCTGTAAGCCAGGGGTCGCCAGGGAAGGCTGCAGCCACCAGACGCTGGAGAGCAGGGCAGCAGCCTCCCCTCCAGTTTTCGGAGAGGACATGGCCCTGCCAACACCTTCACTTCAGACTTGCGGCTTCTAGAACCGTGATAATAACCTTCTCTTTTAAGCCATTCCATTTGTGGTATTTTATTACAGCAGCAGCTGTAGGAAACTAGGCTTCAGTAGGATAAAGAAATTTAGGTTTGATAAGGCAAGGTGGAATGAGAAGGATATTCTAGGTAAAGGAAGTAATATCTTCAAAGTCTCCTGGTTCCAATAAAGTGTAAAGTAACTTGGCTGCTCAGGAAATCACCTAAAGTACTATTACTTTATTTCGTAAAAGACAGGATGTGTAACAAAGGAAGTATATAACATCAGAATGAAGGACATTTCTCTAAACTGAATAAGTTTATCATTTCAAATGTTTATGTTTTTCTTTTTCTCATTCATTAAAAATTGGTGAACAAGGACCAAAGCACTAAACCAGTGGTTCTCAAATGAGTGTGTTCGAGTCCCCTGGTTGACATGCAGATTCTGACCCCGGTGACATGGAGAGGTCCTGTGCGTGACGAGCCCAGGCCATATGGGACCACGACTCTAGACTGTGCCACACCTCCATGCCATGAACTTTGAAAACATTCTTTGGAAAAACAAAAGTTTGTGATCATTTTTTACGGTCATTGAGCTAGAAAGTATCCCAGTGATTGTCTTTGCCTGAAGACTCCTGAGTCTCTCCTTCCTGTCACGTATTCTCTCAAGCTAAATGTCTTGTTTGCAACTCCCTACCTAACTGTCCCTGTTGGATGAGCTAGGGGTATCCTAACACATGTCCCAAACCCAGCTAATTACCCATTTCTGCCCCATATCTGTTTTCCCCATGTACTCATTTGCCTAAGAGAGAAAGGTAGGACCCATTTTTCTGTCTCTCCTGGAGGATGGTCCTGCCATCTGCCTGGTCCTCCAGCCAGGAGCTCTAGCATCATTGCACACCCTTCCTCCCTTCACAGCCTTATTCTGTGCTGACCTATTCCTGTGGATTCTTTTCTTCTCAGTAGCTCTCACGCTTGCTGCTTCCTCCCCTTTCCCCCGCCCCCTTCCGAGGACTTCTGTGGCACTCTGCCTGCCTGCCGGCAACCCCGTGTTCCCCATCCATCTCCTACACTGCCATCAAAGCCAGTGCCTAGTTTTTATTCTTCATCCTCCTTATCTCCTGAGTCCAGTTGGTTTGTCTTTTTAAGCTGTCCTTTTACCATAGTTCAAGTTACTGTTTACCCCAGAGGAGTCACGGGAAGGTTAAGCTGGGGTCAGGCTAGTAGACTATAAGGCAAGGAAACCCATCATCCCAAAGTCCATTGCAGCTGCTTGAGCTCACTGCACAACCAACTCCTGTGCCACGGCCGCTGGCCCCTGTGTACAAGAAGATGGAACAGCTCCTGGGCCGAGTGAGCTGGGAGGTGCTTGGTAAAGCTCATGCTATGACCCAGACCGCAGTTTCGCAGGAAAATCATGACGGTATCAGTTAATGGTATTTCCAAAGCTTTTTGAGGTCCTTGAGAAACAATTTCATGTAAGCATGAATGTGAACTTTACTTCTAACTATAATAATGGTAATATCTGCTGTTAATGACCACATCACCAACATTCTTTTAGAAATATCTCACCCTTTGGGCCCCCTTCTATGGAATTAGCCATAACCTTGAGTTCTTTTGCAAGGTTCAATGCTATTGTAATTACCCCTACCATATGTGACCAGGCAAGTGTGCTGATGACCCCTGCTCTGAATATTTCTTTGGAATGAGAAGAAAAGCTGATGTTGTTTCTTAAGTTCCTTCACTTAAACCACCCATAGAGATTAATCAGACTGATGTCACAGATTTTTTTCTCCATTCCTAATAATTCCATTTGAATACTTGCCGGTGAAAATTGTTTGAGGGAAAACTTTTGAATCTTGTAACACTTGTCTTTGAATATCACTGTTTTCTCTGCCAATCTGATCTGGGTAATGGACTGTGTTCCATTTGTTTGAAGAATACTTGACTTCTGCTTCTCTGTAGC